CTGAGAGGGCTACATAATCTAGGATTCCAACGGTAGAACTTTCTGAAAAAGGCAACCGACGGAGACAGGAAAAGTGTTGGTAGTTGCTGGGGGTTAGAGCATAGGGATGAGCAGGTGGGGCACAGAGGATTTTTAGGATAGTGAAAATATTTTATGTGATACAACAATGGAGGATAAATGCTACCATACATTGCTGAAAACCCATAGAATGTACAACACCAAAAGTGAACCTTAATATAAACTACAGACTTCAGCTAATAATAATATATCAAAATGCTTTTAACAATTGTAACAAATGTACCATACTAATGAGAGATGTTAATGATAGGAAAAGGGACGTGTATGTATGTGTGTTGGGGGGGCATATGGGAACTCTCTGTGATTTCTGCCCAATTTTTCTATAAATTTAAAATTATGCTACATGATGTGAGTCAGAGAATGACACATACTGTATGATATTATTTATATGTGGAGTCTAAAGAAATGGAAATCATAGAAACACAGAGTAGAATCATGGCTGTCAGGGTCTGGGAGTGGGGGAAATGGAGAGATGTACCAGTCAAATTGTACGAACCTGTAGCATCAAGATGAATAAGTTCTGGGAATCTAACATACAGCATGCTGATTATAGTTAAACTATCGTATTATATATTTGAAAGTTGTTCAGATCTTAAGGGTTCTCATCACAAAAAAGGGGGAGTAACTATATGGAGTGATGGAGGTGTTAACCAACCTTTATTGTGATAATCATTTTGCAATATACATATATCCAATTGCCAAGTTGTAAACTATAGACTTAAACACTGTTATATGTCAGTTCTATCACAACAAACCTGGAAAAATATTTTTAAAGCTGCTTTAAAAAAATAAAGTCTATTATTTATTTTTTTTAAAGAAAAGGAAAACAATTCTAACATTACTCTCGCTCTGAGACCTCATCTTCTCAACTTCTAAGTTAAAGCTGAAACTCCGTAAGTTCTACTGCTGTATTTCAATATTGACTACAGAAGTGCATTTGATCATAGTTGGAATCATTGCTCTGGGATCTCCATCTTCAAGAGCTTTACATAATCGTTACAAACATACTATGTGGAAAGAGCAGTATCTTCTCTACCATGACCTTGTGATGATCAAAGGAGATGAGGTCAATACCACAGTGAAGGTATCAAAGCATTAGTTTTCTTTGTTCTTTTCCTAAAATGTTGCTTACGGGGAACACTCAAAAATAAATGTGCAAGCTCTCCTGATCTTCAGATTCCTAGTCTTGAAATAAATGATGCACAATTTCTTTTGAAAAGAATTTAGAAGTTTGGAAATTTCCAAGTTAGAAATGCTCATCCTTTGAGAAGCAGCTTCACCAACAGGGTTTTGAGGGCAGTGAAACTATTCTGTATGATCCTATAATGGTGGATACATCTTCATACATTTGTTCAGATCCACAGATGTACACCACCAAGAGTGAGCCCTAATGTAAACTAGAATGTTTCAGTGATAAAGAAGTCAGTATAGGTTCACTGATTGTAACAAATGTACCACTCTGGATGAGGGGGTTGATATTCATGAGGGGTAAAGCTGCACATGTGTGAAGGCAGGAGGCATATGAAAAATCTCTGTACCTTCCTTTCAACTTTGTTGTGAACCTAAAACTGCTCTAAAAAAATAAGTCTTTCTAAAAATTAAACGTTTAAATTAAAAAGAAAGTAATTCAGAAGCTCTTGATTCATGAACCTCTTGAAACATCCCTCGGGGCTATGGGATATTTGTCCTTCTGGGACACTTGGCATTGAATCTATCTCTGCTCTGGCCCCCTATGTACCATAATAGTTTGTTTATGAATCTAAACTTACTCCTCCCACTCAACTTTGCCTTAACCTGCACTCAGCACCTTGCATGACACACAATAGTTGTATGTCAAATGTTTACTGAACAAACAAAAAGAGGAAATAGAGAAATTCATCCCAGAGAACATAAAAATTGAATATTTAAATGTACCTGTATATACCTGGATTGGTTAATTGAGCTATATATCCATAAAACAAGCCTTTGCCTGCCTGGCTATCTATCTATCAAAACTTTGCCTACCCTTTATGCTTTGCTTAGCTGACATAAGTTAGTAGTACATTAATATTTATCTTGGAAACAGACAGGGAGATAGTCTAGACAACTCTAGTTCTGCTGAGAACGGTCTATAAACATGCCATTATTTCCAGAGCAATGCATTTCCTATCATTCAGCTTGTGCAGTGTTGCTTAGACACTTGCTTCACTTTTAAAAATAAAAGGCAACCAACATTTATTGTCCTACCCTTTCACTGCAGTAGATAAATCCTAGAAAGAAAGAAAAATTGGACCAAATGAATTTCACAATATTCAGGCTATTTTTTTTAAGAATTTATTTACTCACCTGACAGACAGAGATCACAAGTAGGCAGAGAGGCAGGCAGAGGGAGGAGCAAGCAGGCTCCCCGCCGAGGAGAGAGCCCGATGCGGGGCTCAATCCCAGGACTCTGGGATCATGACCTGAGCCAAAGGCAGAGGCTTTAACCCACTGAGCCACCCAGGCACCCCTGGGCTATTTTTTTTTTAAGTGGGAGGTTAACTGGAAAAGCTATCTACTTAATCTCATTTATAAAAAATATAACAGTAGTATTTTGGTGCGTCTGCTGCAGAACATATATAGTTTTGATGCTCATGCATTTTTCTCAGGTCTTACAACAACTCAGACCACTTTATTATCATCCGTCCCCTCTTGATGAGGGATCAAAGTGAATTATTTTAAATAATGATTTTATTTTTTTCTTTCTTTTTTTTAACTTTATTTTTTCAGTGTTCCAAGATACACTGTTTATGCACCACTTATATCACTGTCATTTGTATGCCATGCAATTGTGAGCTCTCTCCCTCTCTCTCTCTCTCTCTCACTTTCTCTCTCTCTCTTTAAAATGGAGGAAAGGGTCTGACTAGAGATCTTGATGGATATGAACCAATCTTGGGAAATTTGACCCATACATATCTTAGATGGAAGTGGGTCTATACACTTCTCAAATGCCAACGTCTGCCTAAGGATGAAACCCAACTCTTCATAAAGGCTTCGGGCCTCAGTCCCAGGAAGGTCCAAGTGCTCCCCAACTATATCCCACTCCCTTGCCTTTTCAAGCAGCACACTAGCCCCTCATCCCCCCAATCAGGTCACACACCTGTCTTCTTGACATCTTTTGAGGACTTCCCCATGCTGTCCCACTTGGCAAACACCTGCCTATCTATCAAGCTTCAGATTGAGACCTCATCAGAGAAATCTATTCCAAATGTTGCCAGCTTTCCCAAGAGGGTGTTTGCCAATTAGCAGAGTCCTTATCACTCTGTACATGACTATCACTTACTTTGCCTCTTCCTCTGAAGCTATGACCTCCAGACAGAAATTTTTATCAATTCCAATAGCAAAGCTTAATCCTGGGCAATGAGTAGATCTTAAAGTTATAGGAGTTCATGAAAATTCCTACGATATACAAATACAAGCACCTCTTTCTAAAATAATTTTGTTAACTATATCTCTATGGAGGCACTTCTTTTTTAGTGTTGGGTATAAATTAGTCTTAGACATAAGGGTAATGAATAATGTGGAACTGATGTAAGAAAATAAAACTCCAGAATAAGAAACAAATGAACTGAGAAGTGATTACAGTCTTTATTCGGTCAACTGATTCATTACTTATCAAGGAAAGGGAATATTACATTTACAATTTACATTTTACAATCCGTAGTCCACAGGCCATGGAACTGAATTCTTTTTTATTCATTTCACCGTGTTTTTTTTTTTAAATTTCTTTTCAGCATAACAGTATTCATTGTTTCTGCACCACACCCAGAGCTCCAGGCAATCCGTGCCCTCCTTAATACCCACTGTTTTGCCAGTGCCCCATCCTCAATTTATGGATGACATTTTTTTTAAGTGAGTCACCCATAAATATAATTTTACCCCTACATAGAAAACATTATATCATCAGAGAAAAGATGAACACTTTTAATATCTGGCAATGAAAAGAACTGATTTTTGCTACTAATTCTGGAGGGATTATTTCTAACCACAGAACATTGCAATGAAAAGACAGCATCTAAGTCAGCATTTTGGCAATTCCCCACCCTCAGCCTCACGCCCCTCCCTGCAAATCCAGGAGCCAGTGTGCAGCAGTAAAGTACAAAGAAGCCCCCAGCATACAAGAGTTCCTGCCATCACTGGGTCCACAAATGCCAATGCATGCTCTTGAAACCTTGCACACTCCACTTGGAGCCAAGACACCGGCCTGTAGCACCTCCTGGGACACTTTCATGCTAATGTACTCCAGCATTCCAACACTTTCCTTATAGCTAAGCACTTTTTACAGGGAAGGCCTTCTTTAACATTGCAGTTACTTCTGGAGCTCATTTTGCTTCTAAATCTGTGAGAATACCCTACTCAGGAAAATCACTTACTTGATACCACACTTTCTCCTGCCAAAATAAATAAATAAATAAATAAAAATAAGGTGGTTTATTTACCCCCAGAGTTCAAACTGAAGAGCAAAGTATAATCTGGATAATTTCAGATCCTTTCCCAAGAAACACTAAAAGGCAGCTCTTTGGGGTCTTGAAAAACTGAACCAAAAGTTAAAAATCTGTCATTTATATTTATCCCTAATAGTAATGAAACCAGAAATAGCCAATGACTACACAACTGCAAATAATCTCGCCTGAAAATCTATCTGCATTAAATACGTGTGTGGAGAAGGTGGAGGGTGAGATGTCTTTTAAACACTAGAGCCATGTCTCACCACTAGAGTCACAAACTCCACTCCATGATTTTTCTTAACCATTTTCAATATTTAAACTACCAATCAATGCTATTGATTTAAGAAGTCAGTTGTGAGTTTAAACTTGCATGATAAATCTCAAACAGAAACTCACAACAAGAACGTAAGAACTAATATTAAGGTCTTCAGATCAGAGAAGAAAAGAGCTTCTTACCATGTTTATTGATGACACAGGACCAATGCTGTTAACATATATGTCAACGTCAATTACAGTTGGTTTTACTGTGGAGAAAAATACATGTGTGTTAACACCTTGTGTCAGAGAGATGGAGGAAAGAAGTATTCAACTTCCTTTGACTCATGCACTAACACCTCATGGGTATGTGGGAAAGGGGTGGATTTTTCTTTTGGATTTGCCTTGTAGTTGCAATTCAAACCCTGCCTGTCTTCCTTTTTAAAATTCTCAAAGGATGAGAAATTATTACTTGTATTTAACAAATTCTTGGAAAACAGGACATTTATACCCTGTAAGATGCCAGGAATAGATGACTGTAAAGATATCCTGCAATATTTGTTAAGCTGATTATATGGCAAAGAAAATAAAAGATGATAAATGTTAAATGACAGAAAACACTGCATAAGCAACTTATTGCCAACATTTTCTATAAAGCCAAGCCTCCCAGTGATGAGTAATATCAGAGATGGTTAGCCATCACCTGACTGCCTAACTAATTGTTCTGCCTAACAAAATGACTCAAAGCTAAGATCTGGAGAGTGCATGCATCAAAGAAGAATAAGGAATATTGATTATTGTTATTGTAAAACCTAAAGAAACATAATGTATCACAAATTTAAAATCCTATAATTAATAAATGAATAACACTTTAGTAAGTCAAGGAATTACAGTTTCAACCACGATGGCATAAAATTTATAGGTGAGATATTGTAATCCAACATTGTGCATCAGAGGTAAAATTAGTTTATTTCCCCTTAAAGAAAACCAGTTTCTCTTTCCTTGGCAGGGACCAATAATGAGATTGCAGAGCTGGCCAACATCTGAGTCAGAGGTTCATGCCCTTTGAAAAGAAGGAGGTTCCCTTCTCTGCACTTAGCAACTGATAAAGGGAATGATATCACCAATTTTAGAATATTTCTTCTCCAGAGGAACAGGAACAAGACTCTGAACCTTTGCATATGAAACAAATCATTTCAGATATAAGAGTGTTTGTATCTGCAATTATTTCGATAAGCTTCCTTCAGTTTCACTAAATAACCTATCATTCACAAATTGGACTTCCGCACTCTACTTTCGGAACTATGAGCGACACTTGTGAGCTTACAGTTTCAATAAATTGCATACCCAGCAGTCTGTAGCCCAAGCCATGTTTTCCAGACTTCTGTGAAAATGAAAACAATGATTATGAATTTGAGCCAACTACTCTAACATCTGTCAGGATAACCAAGTTATATTAGCTTCAAAGAGCTGTTGGCATTTTGGAAAACAACCCAACACAATTCTATGTATTATGTATATGGTGGTTACATTTCCTAAAAGGACTGTTCTTCATTTTAGACTGATTTTTTAACTACTATAAATAGTAAGTAGCACGTTTCTTTAAATTCACTGGATTCAGCAAGTTTTCTGTTTCCAGATACCACATAACCTTTGGTGATGTCATACAGAAGCCTGTGTTAAGTCAATCAATTGAGAACCTACTTTTTGCAAGAGACTTTTTTGGTTATTTTATGGTATTAGAGTTTAGGCTCCCAGAGCTCTTAATCTCATTAAATTAAAAAAAGACCCAGAGACATAAAGCCTTAACAACTTGAAGTGGGAAGTACTAAATCAGTATTAGGTGCATTAGTGCAATGAAGGTTTTAAGGGATAACAGTTTGGAAAACACACACACACACACACACACACACACACACACACACATACAGATGCACACATGTGCACACAAAACTAGGGGGAAATTAACTGTTTTCTTTTTAAAGGTTTTATTTATTTATTTGAGAGAGAGACAGTGAAAGAGAGCATGAAAGGGGAGAAGGTCAGAGGGAGAAGCAGACTCCCCATGGAGCTGGAAGCCCAATGCACAATTCAATCCCAGGATTCCGGGATCATGACCTGAGATGAAGGCAATTGCTTAACCAACTGAGCCACTCAGGCGCTGGGAAATTAACTGTTCTAAGCAAATGCTCTTTTAAGCAGTATCATACTAAAGTAAACGGAGCTTTTAAGAAAGTGGCTCTGATAATGGAACCCAGGAAAGAGACTGTTCACAAGTGGCTCAAGGTTTATAATTCAAAGACTCAAGATTAGGCCCTGACAAAGGTTTTTTTTTTTTTTTTTTAAAGATTTTATTCATTTATTTGACAGACAGAGACCACCAGTAGGCAGAGAGGCAGGCAGAGAGAGGAAGGGAAACAGACTTCCTGCTGAGCAGAGAGCCCGATGATGCGGGACTCAATCCCAGGACCCTGGGATCATGACCTGAGCTGAAGGCAGAGGCTTTAACCCACTGAGCCACCCAGGTGCCCCAAATGATCCTTGACAAAGGAGGCCAGACCATTCAAATGGTGTTGGTAGACTGGATATTCGCATGTAAAAGTAGGTTAGACCCTTATGTTACTAAATACAAAAATTAACTTAAAATGGATCAAAGACCCAAAGTTAAACCAGAAACTACAAAATTCTTAAAAGAAAACATAGGATAAAACCTTCATGACACTGCAGTTGACAATGATTTCTTGGATATGACACCAAAAGCACAGGCAACAAAAAATAAATAAATAAATTAGACTACATCAAAATTAAAAACTTCTGTGTATCAGAAACAGTCAACAGAATGGAAAGGCAACCCACAGATTGGGAAAGAATATTTGCAAATCATATATCTGATACATGGTTGACCCACAACATAGAATGAACTCCTGCAACTCAACAACAAATAAGCAAAAAACCTGATTTAAAAACAGTCAAGGACTTAGACATTTCTCCAAAGATATGCAAATGACCATTAAGCACATGAAAAGATGCTCAACAGCACCAGTCATTAAAGGAGTGCAAATCAAAACCACAATGAGATACTACTTCATCTCTGCTACGATACCACTTCACTTCCATGGAAAACAACAAGTGGTGGCAAGGATGTGGAGAAACTGAAACTCTTGCTCATGGTGGGAATGTCAAATGACACAGCCACTGTGGAAAACAGTATGACACTTCTTTAAAAAAAAAAAAAAAATTAAACATGGAATTACATGACCCAGTAATTCCACTTCTTCTGATGGACCCAAAGGAATTAAAATCAAACATATATTTGTACACCCATGTTAATAGCACTATTATGCACAAAAGCCAACAAGGTGGAAACAACCCAAGTATCCATGGAGGGAGAAATGGATAAAACAAATGCAGTGTATTCATATGGAATATCATTCAGCCTTAAAAAGGAAGATTTTCACTGTTTTGTTTTCTTTTATGTAATGGTCAGTCACATGTAGCCCCAAGACAAAATGTTCAGAATAACAAAGTTCCTTATATTCACAAGTCCTAGAGACTGGAGATATGCCTTGCAGGGTCATATGGGAAAGACACCACCGTGTCAGAAGACAGAAGCCAGGGAAAGGCAGAGGGAGAAGGCACTTATACCATGATCATAAATGGGGTTTCCACAGGAGAGACACAGCAAGGCAGGATAAACAATTAGGATTGAATAGTTTGAATAATTCCTGTGATCTTTGGTGGTTTGGGGATGATTAAGGCAGAAGAATATTGGTTCCTGCAGTGTAAGGGCCAGAGAGAAGGACTATGGCTCTGGATTGGTTAGCCTGCATATCAAAGGTATGCTCCTGGCTAAGCCCTATGCTATCTCTAAGAACTGGCTAGGCCCAGAGGAGCAGTCTCACCTCAATTAAAAAAAGGGGGGGGGTTTAAGATACCAAAACATTATAATCTTAAAATTATAAATATAAAATGTAAAATTAAAATATGCATGTGTGTTTGTATATACATATACACAATACAATGACACGTTACAACATGGATGAACCTTAAGGATATTATAATAAGTGAAATATGTCAGTCAAAAAAGACACATACATTGTAAGTCGCTTCTATGAGGTACATGGAGTAGTAAAATTCACACAGAGAGAAAGAAGAATGGAGGTTGCCAAAGGCTGAAGGAGGGAGTAAAGGAGGGTGCGTGTTCAATGGGTGCAGAGTTTTAGCACTGCAAGATGAAAAGAGTGAGATGGGTGGTGGGCAGTAATGGTTGCAAAACAATGTGAATACCTACAATACCACTGAACTCTACACTTAAAAGTGGCCAAGATAGTAAATTTCATGTTATGTATATCTTACCACAATAAAAAAAGATTAAGCTCTGAGTAGTTGATAGAAGGATGAAGAGTTACATGGAAGTGAAAAAGCTAGAAATGGGGAGAGAGGTGGAGAGGATGTGATTTTCTGAGTGAAAGGAGTCAGATTCAATTGAAAAAGTATAAAATAGGGCTAATGTGTTCAGTTTTCAATTCTTTTTAAATTATATCTTGCCTATTTGGGTGTCATATTTCCAATAAATTCAGAATGAGTATATCTGAGAAGAATCACAAACTCACAAGCTGTGCAGCATAAAGGAATGTGGAAAAGATGCACTGGGTAAGCTGTGACAGTGGTCAACCACATTCATTCCCTTAAAAGAGGTATGTGGCCCAAAAGGCAGAAATGTAGACTGCACTTCTACTTGCTTCTGACACAAAACCAATGCACAGACCTATTTTGTTAGTTTTCTCCACTCAACCATGGGCTTCCTCCTCTTAGAACAAGTATTCAAGAATTATCAGTCAGAGATGCTGGCAAGGATGTGGAGAAAGGAGAACCCTCCTACACTGTTGGTGGGAATGTAAGCTGGTGCAAGCACTCTAGAAAACAACACGGAGGTTCCTCAAAAAAGTTGAAAATAGAGCTACCCTATGACCCAGCAATTGCACTGCTGGGTATTTACCCTAAAGATACAAACGTAGTGATCCAAAGGGACACGTGCACCCGAATGTTTATAGCAGCAATGTCCACAATAGCCAAACTATGGAAAGAACCTAGATGTCCATCAACAGATGAATGGATAAAGAAGATGTGGTTTATATACACAATGGAATACTATGCAGCCATCAAAAGAAATGAAATCTTGCCATTTGCAATGACGTGGATGGAACTAGAGGGTATCATGCTTAGCGAAATAAGTCAATTGGAGAAAGACAACTATCATATGATCTCC